TTTTTTTTTTTTGAGACAGGGTTTCTCTGTAGCTTTGGAGCCTATCCTGGAGACCAGTCTGGCCTCGAACTCAGAGGTCTGCCTGCCTCTGCCTCCCAAGTACTTGGATTAAAAGCATGCGCCACCAATGCCCAGCTCAGGCTCATTTTATAGACTTACATTCCAAGTATAATGTAGAGAAAGGGGTATTGTGAGTCTTAAGAGTTAAGGTATTCTGTTTGGGTGAAACTGTTTACTTCGTCTTCCAGGTCATCTATGACATGTTAAATTGACATGTTATAATTATGTTCTGCATAATGTTTAGGTCAGTTATGGACCATATGACAGTAGTCATATAATACTGTAGTGGAGCAGAATTAGCCTGTTTATGATAGCTGTAGTAACATAGTACAGTGCCTTGCCCATGTTTATAGCGGTGCTGTATGATACTCTTCTGCCCACTGGATAAAGGTTTCACACATACAATCTCATGTTAGGTGGATAATGGTAAAAGGTTTTGTGTGACTATGCTCTACTGTGCAAGGACAATTGTCTGATGGCGCACTTCTTAGGATCTATCCCACTAAGTCGTGCATGACTGTGCTTAAGACCGGTCCTGGCTAGTACTCGAACATTGGCTACTTTAATAAAGACAGTTTTCATTTCACCTTGAATATAACAGGATTTCTGGGTTCTGTAAGCACCCTGACCAGCATGGTAAGATGATCATTGACCTATGGTCAACTATAGGTCTTCCCCACAGATAGTACTAGACTTCCAAGCAAAGATTAAGAGCAGAGCACTTTGGCAGAAATTGGATAAAATGCCTACATATCTTTTGTGCCAAAGTAATGTCCAATGCTTGAACATATTGGCTCTTATTGGTTACTCAAACTAATGTCTTTAATTCCTGACCCTCTTCCCCCCAGCAAGGGAGCAGTCGTCTCTCTACTGTGGAGCTGCAGCTTTTGTTCTCAATTCCTGGGCAGAAGGTCACCTTCTTCTCACAAGCTGTCTGTGCATCAGGTGAGGCCCAAGAGATCACAGCTGCAGCAGTGAGAAACTGTTCTTGGGGCCTAACCAAGACTGATAATGGGTATTCCGTCAATCATTTGCTTGCAGATCTTTCTGTGGCTTGCAATGCTACACACATGACTCTCACCATACCAGAATTTCCTGGGAAGCTAAAGTCTGTGGACTTTGGAAAAAGCAGCATCCCCGAGATGCAATGGCATGCCAATGGGATTGACAAAGAAGCAACAAATGGCTTGAGACTACATTTCAGAAAAACTCTCCTGAAAACAAAAGTATGTTATTTCCTGAATGTCACAAGAGCCTTCTGAAGTACTCTTGGGATAATATGATATGACTCATGATTTTCCCATAGAGCCTATTTGCTATAATGAATTTAAATGGTGCCAGGCCTCCCTTGATCACTATATGAAAAATTTTAAGGAAAGTTCTCTCTAATACCATTTAACTTCTGCACATGGGTACTTTCCTACACTTTCTCGGTTCATTTGACAAGTACAAACTACCTATCAAACATCCAATGATGAACCTTGCTATGCTGTTATATAATGGGCAACTTGATCTTTTGTTGCTTGAACCTTTTGCTTAAGGGGCTATTATCCCAGGGCTAGTCTTGATGCAGTTGCCAGGGAGTGTGAGGGTGTGTGTGTGTGTGTGTGTGTGTGTGTGTGTGTGTGTGTCAATAGCATTTTGTAATATCTGGAGTCCTTTTGAGCCCTTCTTGGGCTTGGTGAGGAACGCCACTACTTTTGGTTTGATTTGTTAATTCAAGCTTTAGTGACCAATAGTAAAAAGAGCATGAATGAAGTACTGGGCACTTTCTGGTGTGAGTTTAAAGCAATGAACTTCCTACCTAGAGAAGCAGCCTGACCTGAGGAAGTGACTGCTCTTTTGTTTTGGCTTAGAAGGAAACTAGATCAGTCTGAAGTGTGTTCTTTAAGTGTTTGAAGACTAATTCCTGCTTCTGGAGATGGCTAGTTGACATTCTCTTATTTTCAGCCCTCTGAAAAATGTCCACCCTATCAGTTCTACTTCTCTTCACTCAAGCTGAATTTTTACCTCCAATCAGACATGGTATCCTTGGTGATTGATCCTGAGTGCCACTGTGAGTCACCAGTCTCTATAGGTAAAGATTTTTTTTAAAATCAAAATTACCGGGGTTTTTTCCTCAATGCATGTGGGAAGATGTAACAGACCAAGATTCTGATTCATGCTTGTGGGTTAAAGAGACTGAAGATGAGCCATGTCAGAAATGGCTATATAAATTCTAGGATGGGGGCCCAAGTGTGCTACCATTCTCAAACATTCATGCAGGGAGGTAAATCATTGTGGAACTGTTGGATTTAACCTGGGTATGCTGGGCTAGATATGAGAGTCTCACCACACCACTATCCAGGGACAAAGGCTTCAAGCTTCTAGTCTAAAAGTGTTTCCTGAGACTCCGTGAACTCTGAAAAGGAATCCTGAGTAGGAGCCTTCTCTAGTGAGCCTCAATTTTCCTTACTCCTCACCTAGACCAGGTCAGGCCAGTAATAAAAGTTCCCTTCCCAGTTCTCAAATTGTCCGGGACTTGTGAGTCCAGGCTGAGTATTCCCTACCAAAGAGCTCAGAACCCACAGTTTTGGGTCTTGGAGTTCTGTCAGATTGTTTAAATACTGTATAGCTTCCTATATGGGCTTCCCTAGTTTAAAAAAATCCAAATTCTGAGAAAGGGACACAATGAAGCCTAGCACTTCATAGTCAACCCAGATTGAATCCTTAAGGCACTTGAATCATCTATCAGGGTGTGGCCTCATCCCCTATGGATCCTTCTTCCCATGTCTCCTGGTCTGTATGGTGACAACACTGGTCATGGTAACTTACGTTCTTCTTGTAATCCAAGGTCTTTTCAGTGTTGCTCAAAGAGACTTAAGATGACTCAAGCTTAGTTTCTGGATTGCTCTAAGACTTCAAGGCTAACAGGTAATGTCACAGGATAGGCTTATTTTCTCTAACCCTTTAATGCTGTCCAGTTGCAGATGAACTGTGTACACAGGATGGCTTTATGGACTTTGAGGTCTACAGCCACCAAACAAAACCTGCTCTGAACCTGGAGACCCTCCTGGTGGGAAACTCCTCCTGTCAGCCTAACTTCAAATCTCAGTCACAGGGCCTTGTACGGTTCCATATACCTCTGAATGGATGTGGAACGGGACAGAAAGTGAGTAATAGCCAGTGGTAAGAAGTGAAGACTTTTGAAGTAAGTACTTTGTTGACCCACTTTTAACTTTTAAGTTTGAAGGTGATAAAGTCATCTATGAGAATGAAATACATGCTCTCTGGAAAAATCTACCACCAAGCATCATATTCAGGGATAGTGAGTTCAGGTATGATTTAATTTCTACTTGAAGTATTTTAAGCTTTTGTTTAAATTGCAGGGATTTTGTTAACCTAATTCTTCTCTCCCTACCCACAATTTTCCAGAATGACAGTGAGGTGTTATTACACCAAGGGCAGTGTGCCACTAAATGCCAATATCAAAAGTCTTCTTTCTCCAGTGGCCTCTGTAAAGCCAGGTCCACTGATGTTGGTCCTGCAAACCTACCCAGGTGAGGTGTTGCAACTTGAGCTAATGATTAAACACTTAGTGCATTTTAGGGGAAAATCCCTTATCCAATGCTGCCAGCATAATGTATGTTGCAGCCACCCTATAACTCGGTCCTGAAGAGGTTTTCATTAATTGCAGACAAATCCTACCAACAACCTTATAGGAAGGATGAGTATCCTCTAGTGAGATACCTCCGCCAGCCAATCTACATGGAAGTGACTGTCTTGAACAGGAATGATCCCAGTATCAAACTGGTCTTAGATGACTGCTGGGCAACATCTTCTAGGGACCCAGCCTCTGTCCCCCAGTGGCACATTGTCGTGGATGGGTATGTATTCCCTGCACCACAGGGTTGCCCAGATAAAGCATCAAAATTTACTAGTGATTAAAACTAATCCTCCGCCGCTGGGCAGTGGTGGCGCATGCCTTTAATCCCAGCACTGGCAGATCTGAGTTTGAGACCAGCCTGGTCTATAAGAGCTAATTCCAGTAACTCTTATATAGTATAATATAGGTGTTATACATAGGACTTCATGAATATTGATGGCTAGGTCCAGTCAGAAAGATGTAAGTAAAACAAAGGTACTGGTCGGATGTAGACATAGCTGTAGCATGGAGTTGTTACATTTGGCTCACCTTGTCCAAATGTGCATGTGTGGGTTCCTATGACTGATGCCTCCATCCTGGTGCCCGTTTCCTAGCTGTGAATATGAACTGGACAACTACCGCACTACCTTCCATCCAGCTGGCTCCTCTGTGGTCCATCCTACTCACTACCAGAGGTTTGACGTGAAGACCTTTGCCTTTGTATCGGAGGCACAGGGGCTCTCTAGCCTGGTATGTGATCAAAAAGTCACCTGGGGCAGGTTGACCGTGAGTGCATTGGTTCCACCTGACTCTCTCCCTCTTCTAGATCTACTTCCACTGCAGTGCCTTGATCTGCAACCCAGGGTCCCTTGACTCCCCTCTGTGCTCTGTGACTTGCCCTGCACCATTGAGGAGCAAACGAGGTAAAAATCCAATCCTTTCTTGTTGCTCAAAGCAAGCCTCAATTTTCTAGAATTGAGTAAGTTTTAGGATAATAACTTCTCCACCTAGTCCCAAGAAACATCTTCACCCAGTCTTTACCAATGTGGTGAGCCCGAGGTGCACAGGTTCTCATTTAGCCCAATGAATCCATCCTCCGGGAATCTATCCATGACAAAACAGATGGAATTCATACCACTGGATACTCCAGGAACATCTTCTAGGGACTCCATTGATGCCTCTGGCACACTACTCCCAAGGTCAAAATACACCCTTGACTATCTGTCTCCCACCACAGAGGCCATCAAAGAAGATACAATGACAGTTAGCCTTCCAGGACCCATTCTCTTGTTGTCAGATGACTCTTCACTTAAAGGTACAGATTTAAAGTCTGGGGTACTTAGATTTTTTTCCTGTCAACTTTAATATGATTAAAGTTCCTTTCCAGCAGAGCCTTTAACTGCTTGTATGCTCTCCTGAAAATCTTGACACTAGCCAGATCATGTTTGGTACCTACTGATAGAATTGTGTTTTAGTCTCTGATAGAACCATGTAGGATGCATGGGGGCTCTTAGACATGGTCTTGTTCATGACCCATTGTGTGTGTTCTCACAATTCTACTCTTGTGCTGGATGTCATAATGGGTTCTTAATGCCACACTTGATCTCTAGGAGGATTGCTGCCTACCATACTAAGAAATTTGGCATATATTGCTAGCAGATTGGTAGGTTGGAAAGCATGAATATTGCTTTAACTTCTGCCAAACTGAAATCATAAGGGATTATGATCCTATAATCCTCCCATAGTCTCTCCCAGAGGGCCTCAACTCCAGACCTAAAATATAAAATTAAGCTATCTTAAATTATGGTATTCTGTGATACCATACATCCAGGGATAGCTAATTATTGGGACATTTCATTAAGTCAGGCTGAGAGGCTGAGGTGCTCTCCAGCTATCAGCCCATCTGGCTTGAGATGGGAGAGGGCATGGTAATAACAGAGGGGAGAGTAGATGTGGAGCGTGGGAGAATGAAGGTAGCAATAAAGGTGAGGTTATCCTACTGTAAACGTCCAAGAGCAGGTGATTGAAGCTTAACATCTGTAGAAGGCCTCAGCACAACTATATGACTTGAATACCTGCTTTCTTTGTAGATGATATGGTCCCTAACAGGCATGAGATTGCCAAGGATACTGCTTCTAAAACAGTAACTATTGTGGCTGCATTAGTGGGTTCAGTGGTGATTGTTGGCTTCATCTATTACCTGCATAAGGAAAGAACTATGAGGTTGAATCACTGATTGGACTTGCAAATAAAGAGGCTGAGTATAACTCCTGTCTTATATGTTCATGTGTATACACACAGGTGAGGCCAGAGGACAACCTTGAGTCAGTCCTCTGGCACCTCCTTTGGGAAGAGGAAGAGAAGTGGTCTCATGGACTTGGGACATGCCAAGTAGGCTCTAATGGTTGTCCAGTGAGTGAGCCTCAGGAATCTGCCTATCTCTGACTCCCTGGTACCAGTAATACAGTGTGTGCCACTGTGCCTGGCCTTTAAAAGCAAAACAAACCATGTGGAGCTCAAACTCGGGTCCTCATGCTTGCAAGACAAGCATTTACCTGGCTGAACCATCTCCATCTTTCCAGCCCTTTGCCTTATGTTTCAAGTCTAGAAACTATTTAAAAATAGTTTCCTTTAGTCATTACTCAGTAGATCTGAGACCTGTTCACAATCCTATGTAGGCATTTATCAACTTGGACAGGAATAGGTAAATTTACAACTTGTTTCCTATTTGGGATTTTGTGACTCCCTTAGTCTATCATGACATGTTATGTTCAACAGGGCTTGGCTGCAGCCCACTTGAAGGTGTAGTCTTACATGAGTCCTCTTTGAGGCCCTCAAAGACACAGGATTGGGGTAAGAGGTAGGAAGCAGCTTGTGTCTAACTATCACAATAATATAACAAATATGAAATACTTAAGAGGCTTTGGGGATTGTGTTTCCACCTCCTAGTTGTGGAAGCTCAAGTCCAAGGCTGGATGGTTCCATGGTGTAGGGTGGATGGTAGGGAGTATGTGCCAGCAAATGAGTGTATCAGGTCCTGTGGTGTAGGGTGATGGCGTTTGTGCCAATAGGTGATCACATCTGGAGCCAGAAAGACATACCTCACAGCCCCTTTGAGGAGTACACCCTCTGTGGCCTAATGAACTCAATGTCGACAGCACTGCTCAGTGACATTTAATCAAAATATACCATCGTTAATCATTAGACCAAAAATATTCCTTTCATGAAAGGAATTGTTCACAAGAGTGCTTCCTAACTCAACTCCCTCAAATAAGACTTCTGACACTTTGAAGTGATGGAGTCACATCTCTGTAGCGATAGTCACATCTCTGTAGCCCCAGTTTAAAGATTGGTCGGTCTCCTTGAAGGAAAAGGAATGCTGTGAGGTCCACAATGTCCCTGATATCCAGGCTTTAGGTTGGACCTGAGCATAGCTGACCATCTCTACTTGTGCTCAGTCCTGGGGGCACCCTGGTTTTTCCCTAGACTGTTTGGAAAAACTGATCACATGACCAGTCTTTAATGCTCAGATACCTTTTTTAATATGAAAGTTCATTTGTATCCTTTGACTAAAAACATGTTTTAAAAAAAATAGAATCTCCATTATAGGGGTAAGGTTCAAATAGAAATACAATTATTTGGAGGGGGTGGCTTACATTTACTAATCAAAGTCCATCATTGAGGAAAGCCAGGACAAGAACTGAAGCAGAGACGATGGAGGAACCCTGCTTACTGGATTGCTTCCCATGGCTTGCTTGGCTGGCCTTCTTATAGTATGTAAGATCACCAGCCTAGGGGTGGCACTGTCTGTAGTAGGCTGGGCCTTTACACATCAATAAAATGATTCCACAGACTTGCTTATAGGCCAGTCTGACAGAAGCAACCTCTCTAGTCAGATTATCTCTTCCTAGATGGCTCTAACCTTGTGTCAAGTTGATGGGGAGGGGAGGGGAACTAACCAATACAATGAATTAAAGCATGATATACTTGTTACTAGCCAGGAAGTTCAATTTTTTTTTTTTACTCTTTGACTATCAGTTGTTAAAATTTTCAAAACCTAACCTGGAGGACAGACTACATACTGCTGTCTGTAGTACATAGTAGGTCTCTAGCTTTATTCTGAATTGATCTTTTTCAAAGTACATACTACTGTCTGTAGTACATAGTAGGTCTCTAGCTTTATTCTGAATTGATCTTTTTTAGTTTTTTAAAATTTATTTAAATTAAAAACAATATTTTACATACCAATCCCAATTCCCTCTCCCTCCTGTCCTCCCATTTCCTCCCACCATCCCCCATCCCACTCCCCCCCCATCCACTCCCCAGGGTGCCCCATCATTTGTGGCAGGACCTAGACCCTCCCCCATGTATCTAGGTTGAGAGTATCCCTCCATAAGGAATGGGCTTCCAAAGCTCATTAGTGCACTAGGGATAAACACTGGTTCCACTGCTAGAGGCCCCATAGACTGCCCAAGACCCCCAACTGACACCCATTTTCAGAAGGCCAGGTTTAGTCTTGGGCTGGTTCTCCAGCTGTCAGATTGGGGTCTGTGAACTCCCACTTGCTCAGGTCAGCTGTTTCTGTGGGTTTCCCCCAGCATGGTCTTGACCCCTTTGCTCATCACTCCTCCCCTCTACAACTGGATTCTAGTAGTCCAGATCAATGCTTAGCTGTGGATCTGTGCTTCTGCTTCCATCAAGTACTGGATGAAGGTTCTATGATGGCATTTAAGGTAATCATCAATTTCCTTATAGGAGAAGGGCATGTAAGATAGCCTCTCCACTATTACTTAGCTGGAGTCATTGTTGATTCCTGGAGAGTTCCCTAGCTCCAGGTTTCTCGTTAAGCCCATAACAGCTCCCAGTAGCACAGACACGGAGATTGACAATAAATGAGAAGCTTCTGTAAGGCAAAGGACCCAGCCAACAAGACAAACGTCAGCGTACAGAATGGGAAAAGATCTTCAACCCCAAATCTGATAGAGGGATGATCTCCAAAATATACAAAGAACTCAAGAAGCTAGTCACCAAAACACCAAATAATCCAATTAAAAAATGGTACAGATCTAAATAGAGAATTCTCAATAGAGGAATCTCAAATGGCTGAAAAACATCTAAAGTGTTCAACATCCTTAGCCCTCAGAAATGCAAATCAAAACCACTCAGATACCATCTTATACCTATTAGAATGGCTAAAATAAACAAGTTTGTGCTGGAGAGGATGTGAAGAAGGGAGAACACTCCATTGTTGGTGGGAGTGCAAACTTGTACAACCACTTTGGAAATCAGGATGGTGGTTTCTCAGGAAAATGGGAATCCATCTCCCTCAAGATCCAGCAATTCTGCTCTTAGACATGTACCCAAAGGATGCACAACTATATTCATAGCAGTATTTATAATAGCCAGACCCTGGAAACAACCTAGATGCCCCTCACCCAAAGAATGGATAAAGAAAATGTGGTACATTTACACAACGGAGTACTACTTGGCAACCAAAAGCAAAGACATCTTGAAATTCGCAGGTACATGGATGGAACTAGAAGAAACCATCCTGAGTGAGGTAACCCAGTCACAGAAAGACAAACATGCTATGTACTCGTAAGTGGATATTAGACATAGAGCAAAGGACAACCAGCCACAATCCACAACCCCAGAGAATATAGGAAACAAGGAGGAACCTGAGAGAGACATACATGGACTACCCCCCACCAAGGGAAAAGGAACAAGATCTCCTGAGTAAATTGGGAGCGGGGAGGGAGATAGAAAGAGGGAAGAAGGGGGTGGGGAGGAGAACATGAGGGATCAGGAAGATCTAGTTGGGGGAAGGAAAGAGATACCTGAATTGTTCTTTTATTTTTTTAACATAACTCTGTGTTAGACTTTGCATAGCTGTGACAACACTCGGACTTATTCTGGCTCAGTTTCCAAAGTTAAAGTTAGTGTTTGGGCAGGATGTCGAAGCAGTAGGGTCATATCTCAGAGGAAGAGCTGGCCTCACTGAGGACAGCAAAGGAACCCAGGACCAAGTATAGCCTTTGAAGGCATGCTCCTTGCAGCCCTACTCTTCTCAGCAAGGCCTCGCATCCTAAAGTGTTTACAAACTACAATTACAGTGTCACCAGTGAGGGACCAGATATTCTCAGGAGCCTGTAAGCTTTTCAGACCACACCATAGCCTTTCTCCTCAAGCCATTTTGTTAAGAGTTTGGCAGGGTAGAAATCCTGACCTGAGGAATGACTGATCTTACACTATGTGGAAGGCCTGGTGTGCCCAGAGTGAGAGGGGTTAAAAGCTCAAGTCATCAAAGCCACTTTTTTGACCTGGGTTTGTAAGGGTATAAGGAATTATTTTACTGATAAAAGAATCTACCTTGAGTTCAAACTTTTCTGTGTGGAATTTCATATCTCTATGCTGCCACACATTTCAACCAGAAATAAAACTTTTATGTGCTGTGCCCTTTGAATGACATTAAAACACACACTGATTTAATAACAGCCTGCACCGCAAATGCAAAAATAAGTTGGTTACTTAAATGGCTCCAACACCTCATGTCCACATCCTCGTCCTAAAAGCAAATCTGTATGTTTCAGTATTGGTGGCTTGCCAATACTGAAACAGATTGATTGGAGGCATGGACTTCATGGATGTGATAGATGGTCTTGATTAGATGATACAGGTGGGCCAATCACAAGGGTTCTAATAAAGCAGACACAGGAGACTTGCACTCCAAAAGATGTGACACTGGTAGCCAAAATCTGAGTGGTGCTTGGTCACAAGCCAAGGAGCCCAGGAAGCCATTAAGAGAGGAACAGGTGAGGAAACACTAATAGAACCTCCCGAGGTGCACAGCTCTACTGCCCCGTTTTGGACTTCTGACCTCCTTCAGACTTGTAACTACAGACCTGTTTTATGGTGCTAAGTTTGTGTTCGGTTGTTGAAGCAGCTAAGGGAAACCAACCCACCCTCTAATGACTCATGGCCAGCAAGCTGGAAAACACATCACTGAAAATGCTCATGTTATCCATGAGTTACTGGAGTTACTATAGCTCAGGATGTCCCAGTCGCCCTCATGTGCAAGTTGGCGCATGTGTGTGGGAATAGAGATTGCCTGGAGAGATTTCTAGACTTCTCTACAACACAACTCCCTTCTGAAGTGTGTGCCACAAGTACCAAAGCAGAACTTGGAGGGTAAAAAGTGGAACTTGCCTGGAGCTGCTGCCGGGATGAACACTTGTT